ATTATAAAAATTTATTATATTGAATTTTAATTTGAAGTAGGTGATATCACCTTTGTTTATTTAATCAAGAAGAGTATCACTAATCATTATCTTATCAATTTCGCTTATATAAATCCAATAGCTTACTAATCGCCTTTTCTTTGTTTATATCTAGTGACAATTAACAACCCTTTCTAAGCATAAACGATTTTCATTATTCTTCGCCACTTCCTTGCTTCGACACTTATGAATACAGAAGTGCTTCTCCATCATCCTATTTTAATACTTATGACTACTCTCAAGAAGACATATCATCTTACCTTAACATCCATGATCATAACGATTATAATAATCGTAATGATTGTAACGATCATAACGATCATAATGATTATAACGATATTGCAAACATTTCAGCATTGTTTTATTCAAATATATACAAACAAGATTTTGTAAATACTTTGCCATTACCTTATTTTAATGCCAACGATTTTGATCCAATAAGTACTTATATTAATAAATGATCGTTGATTTGTTTTTGTTTAATTTTAACATCTATGATTTTGTTCTAACTAGGTTCTTCTTGGCTGTCAACTAACAATAAGTTAATTAAATCGGATACAGATGTTGAGACTCGACCATGTGAAGTAGACAATGGAGTTTATAATGAAGAAAAAGAATATGATGATGATAGTAAAAATGAGGATAGCGAAAATGAAGATAGTGAAAATGAGAAAGTACAAGGCAGTTCATTAGTATTATTTGAAGGGATGGAATTTAAAACATGGGAACTTTCTGAATCATACCTGAATGATTATGTGAAACAAAAAGGATTCAGTTTTCATAAATGAAGGCGTGTTATGGATTCTAAAGATAATACAATAATAAGGCGATGCACATATGAATGTTTACATGCCTATTTGCATGAACTTGAAAAGCCGTTCTTGCAGAAAATAGAAGAGACAGAGATTCGGAAATGATTGATTGTTCTTGGTACATTAATTTAACATTTTCTAAGATAGCAGAAGGCATTCATATTAACAGTATAGTGGGCAGCCATAATCATGAAATAAACCACTTATTTCAGAAATAGCACTACGGTATCGAAAGCTAATCTATGAAATACTTGATAAGATTAAGTTTTGGACAATTCAAGGAAAGTTGGGTTTAATAACTCAGTATAATTTGTTAGTTGTATCATTCTCAGGAAAAATCATTAATAAAAAAGATCTAAGTAATGCAATTCAACGATTTAAAAGCCAAATTAAGCCTAATAAAAATAATGCTTGCAAAATACTTGAAGATTTATACTCAAAAAAAGAAGAAAATCTGATGTGGATAGTAAAGCCACAGTTTGATTCTGAAGAAAAATGGCTTAACTCATTGTACTGGATAACTCCAGATCAAATTAGCGCTTATAAACGATACCACAATATTGTAATTGTTGATACTACACCTAAGACCAATCAATTCGATATAATTTTAATGTTAATTATAGTAGTGGATAATAACTTTAGAAATTTAATTGTAGCATCAGCAATTATAGAAGACAAAACTAAGTCGACATTTACCTGGGTTTTGCAAGAGTTAAAAAACTCCTGTGAGATTGCACCTATAGTATTATATTCTGATGCTGATCTTGCTTTAATATCAGCTATACGAAAATGTTATTCAGATATACGGCTTCTTCATTGTATCTTCCACATTTAAAAAAGAAACTCAAGAGAAAGTTGCATGAACAATTTGAGCCCTTTCATGTCAAATTCCTTGCAATGCGGAATTCTTTATGCTATAAAAAATTTGAGGACAGATGGGAGTCACTTGTTAATAAATATCTAGTATGTGAAAGTTATCTTAAGAGTGTTTTGTATTCTTGCAAAACCAGTTGGGCAAGTTATGCTATAAATCGATACTTTACTGCGGGGATCCAAAGTATCTAACAAGCTGAAGTCACTAACAAAATTATCAAAGATAGACTAAACAGAACTTCACGGCTAACAAATATTGTAGAGGAAATTCAAGCAATATTTAACCAACAATCAAAAAAGAGCAGCATTAACTGAATGCAAAAACAAGATTTCAACAAAGATATACCAACAATATTAGACGAATACTTCCCTGAATTAGATAAGATATTGAAAGAATATCTTACACTACAAATACTTCAAAAACAATGGAATCAAATGGCCCAATCAATATGTTATGACACTGTATTGGTTGATAGTTGGTTGTCACTTCTTGAAGTAAGAATTTTTAAATAGATTAAGTTAGTCTTATTGATTAATTATTATATTTGATTAATTATTACATTTGATTAATCATTACATTCTTTTTTTTTTGTTTTAGGTAATAGACGACTCCTACCAACAAGAAATAGCTAGAGAGGATGATTACGATCAACCTCAGTCTTTGTTTCCTTCTCTGCTTAAAGATATACCTCAGGATTGTATTCAAGAAGTTTGGAAAATAAGTAGGTATAGAAAACAACAATCTGACCCTCAATATGTTGTTATACTTAATGACGGCTCACATTTATGCACTTGTCTTTGGCTTGTCAATCGTGGAATCATGTGTAGACACTTCTTTCGTGTTATATCTTATTTAATTAATGCATGATTCCATATTACACTTATTCCTAGATGCTGGTATAGTATCAACAAATTTAATAATCGACAAGCTGAAATCTTGTTACCAACATATCAAAGTAGAATTGAGTTAAATGAGCTGAAATAATTATCTCAACCACTATCATTTCAATACTTTGCGAAATTTAGACAAACACCAAATGTTATGCAAGTGCAAGGCCCCAAACAAAAATATGGATATGGCATAGGCTACGCCAAAAAAGCACTTAACCTTGCTATTCGAACTAACAAAATTGATGAATTTGTTAGTGAGATAGAATGCTTTATTGAAAGAGTAAAAAGGAATATTTCTGATCAAGATGACAACGATATTAATTTTACAGATATTGGAGATCCATTAAGAGTATGACATAAAGGTCGACAACCAAAAAGGTATAAATCAGGTGGAGAATTACCAAAAAAGAAGGTTGATAATTCTAACGCTAATGCTAAGAAGGGCGAGAAAACCAAAAAGGGCAAAAAAGGTGAAAGATATTGTCATAAGTGTAAGCAAACAGGTCATTATACCTCACGATGCCCTAATTAATATAATTTAGTTGGTGTAGCGATATGATGCAATGTGACAAATTGAAATATAATTCTTGAATAGCGATAGAATTTGAATTTTTAATATGTCAAACTTGATTAAAAACAAGTTTAACATAAAAATAAAACCAGCAAACCAACGAATCTTGAACACAACTTACAATTTACGTCATTCTTATATGTACTATATAGTAAATGAGCCTTATTTAAAAATTTAGTCCCGAATCATTATGTTGCGATTGAATTAACAACAATAAATAATTAAGCAGCAGAGTTAGTTTGGAACTGGTTTTATTTTTTGTGTGCTAAAGCTAGTTTTAACATAAAAAATAACAAGCTTTCCAGGGTGACCACCATAAATAAAATGCATAGCTAATAATGGACGATTCAATGAAATTATACAGTGGTTGTAGCATCTTATTATGTGTCCATACTTTTGGTAGTTGCTCTGAAGAACTTAAAAATAACTAGCTTTAAACTATATTTTATGCGGTTAGTTAGCAGTTAGTATTAGAGTAGATGATTTTAATAATTTGCACTGTCTCTATTGCTATACTAGAGGTTGGAACTGGTTTTATTTTTCATATGCTAAACCGATTTAACCCGGTTTTAACATATGAAAAATAAAACCGGTTCCAAACTATATGCTACATTTTTAGAATTATTAATATTATGTGAATTTAAACTACTGAGGTATATTATATACTGTGTATATATATACAGTATACAGTATATATATAGTATATATATATATATATAATAAATATATATATATATATACTATATATATATATTATATATATAAGTGATTTCACCCTAGAGGTAAGTTAGCAAAAGTTTTAAAATTATTACAATATATGAATAAATAAAATATCAATAATGCTTTTACATTAATATTTAAATAAAATCGATATATAAACCTGACTTTTTTATCTTAAAAAAGTTTTTTATAAAAACTTATAAAATCAAGTTGCAAAAAATACCAAGCCAATCTTTCAATTTACAATTGAACATTTAAAATAATTATATGTATCAATTCTAAATTAAAATTCTTTAATTTATTTATTTTAAAAAGTCAGGTCGCAAAAAATATCAAATCTTTTAGTTTATGATTGAAAAAGCATTTAATATTATACAGTATATATTAATTTTAAGTTGAAAATTCTTTAAATACCATATTTACTAACTAAACTTGAAAACTTTACTTGGGCATTTAATATTATTATTATATGGGGTCTTTGCCTTGAAAATAGAGTTCCGGGGTCCCCTCAACCAAAAATGAGATTTTTGTTAAATATTAATTCACAATACATTAAGCTTATTTTGTACAAATTTTATAACCTGTTATCTTATTATAAAGATGTGTTATTGAAGTCTAGATCTTTTGACTAAATTTGGCAAGAAAATTATCTGATGATCTAAAAATAGATTGTAAACTGATCAACATGTTGGATAAATATTTAACCGCTATATATACATATGTCATTTTTGTACTACCAAAATTTGTCTTGAAAATGACCCTATGACAATACGTTACACAAATTTAATGATTGTCCAATGAGAAGAAATTCTGATATCATGTGTTGTACTTTTATGACTGCAATATTAACTGAAGACTCTTATATTTGATTGACTGAAAATTTACCCAAGGCATTTTTTTTGTATTTTTTTTTCATTTTGCTTTACTAATTTCTAAGTTTTTATCCATAGTTGTTTTTCAAAACATAGAAGTGCCGCTTTTTGGAATATACTTTGTATATAACCAGTACATAAAAGAAATTTTTACTCTCAAATATCTCAGGGTACAAATTGTAGAAGTATATGAATCAGCAGCTTACAGTATATAGTTTAGTGTTTTATATTGTATATACAGTATGAAATAATGTGTTTATATTAATTTATAAGTAGGTTCCGAAGATATTCTCAAACAACTCTACCAATCATTAACATAATCCTTATACAGTCGATCTTGGTATGCATGGAGAACAGATTTTGTATCCGTTTTTAAGAGGTTATTGGATTTAAAAACATAATAACTATTAGATTTATTTAACAGAAATGGACTTGGTAGATTAATTTTTTATCAAATTTGAAAGGTTATCGGTTTTGACTAGATTGGTTTTGAGGATTGACTATAGTAATTTTATTTAGTAAAATGCTAATATAAAATTTAGCTATTGGAATAACTCTGTGGAAAAAATTGCAATTTAAAACAAACACAAAATATGATTAGGTTTTTTAGCTAGTTAAATTGTTTTGAGATCTTATTTTGTAATTTATTAATAAGTGTAGTTTAAGAACAGACTAAATTAGTTTTATTGTATATCTAATTTACAGCACTAAGCATAGAATAATATATAGAAAAACTTATATATTGTTCAAACAAGACATAATTTCATCAGCGATCTCTATATTTGTAACCTGATTCTTGACAAAATCCTGCTATTTTATAGCTAATATATATCTGAGTTGCAGGTAAACTTTTAACCAGCATAAACTTGTAATTTTATACATACGTATGTATATTAGAAATATGCATTATGTAAGTTTTGAATAGTATAATTTGAATACTATATTTGTCATATGATTTCACGAATATGCATATCCACGAAGTCATGTAATATGACGAATAGTAGATACCAAAGAGTATCAATGTAATTATTATAGGAATCAGTATAGCATTATATAGCAACATGAATGCTATATATTAGTATATCTATAAAGACTAATTATTTAAAATTATAAGGTTCTTGTATTGCTACAAAGCCTAATAATCAAATATGAGATTTTTTCACTGCCTACGGAAGCTGTAAAGCTTACTAAATAGTGTTAATACATCTCGTTCAATCAGTGGTAGCATTTACACATTCCAAATAAGAACTTGTAGAATACAGAATTGTACAATGCATGCATGCTACATTATGTTGCATTATGTAATATGAAGCCAAAAAAATCGCATTTACCTATTTCTAATATACATATTAATTCTCGCACAATAAACTTATATTATGCCAATATCATTTATATTCTTAACATGTATTTTAAAAAGATTTATAGTATTCGATTCAATTTTCTTGTATTTATAAAGATTTATTGAACATATCTATTATTTTTAAAAAAATGTCACTACTACCAACTATTAATAATTTCAAGCCTGTTTATAACTTAGTTAAATTAGAATTAGAAAACTATGAAGAAAATGAACTAGTTTTAGACACAATTTATGAGTTAAAATTATTTTTTCAAAATCCTAATAATTGTACTTGCCGTCAAACACCAAAACAAAAAGACCTTAGAACCTGTTTTGAAAAAGTAGGGTTTAAGCGTTTTTTTGAAAGATATTTTGAATTAAAAGCTTTAGAAGAACATGAGCTTGAGCTTTTTATAAAATCACAATTAATATCATTTGAAATTAGTGATGAAAAATTAAAGAATAAAACACAAAAGTATACATATAGATATAATTATAATAGTTCTTTACTTCTTTGTAAGTCTACGTATTTAAAATTATATGGAATTAATGATTATTTACTTAGTACATTACAAAATTATTTACAATTAAACAGGTTAACTGAACATGTTCATAGAAATACTGGGCATGCATCTAAAACAGATTCAAAAGTTTTTTTAAACCTTGCTATAACATTTT